AAAAATTGCTCATTTTAACTTTTTCTTCTTTGATAATATGATATTTAACTCTTAAAAAACTTGCATGAGCCAAACGACTTCAATGGTTAAGAGATCATTTTTATCCCTAGAAGTCTTGGGTTTGAATATAATGGCTAAATGAGTGTTTGAACGTTCATTATCAAATGATTTAGAGTATTTTAAAAAATACTATATTTTAATCACCCCAAACTGATTCAAAACAAAATCTTCAAAATCTTCTTTATTGAACATTGACTAGATATTTGTGTTCTTATTCCTTTGATTATGATGAATATGCACCCAAATAGCATAAGTTATTAGAAAATATGTTAAAGATTAACGTTGGTTATGGATCAAATTGATTTAATTTCTGAGTTTGAGGGCATAATTAGGTAAAAAGAAAATTCAGGATCTGATTTGATTTTGTTTCAAAAATTAGAGGGCTTTTGAAACATTAAGCCTTAATTGTTTTACATATTGCTTCTTCTGCAGCATTTATGGAAGAAGTTCTTACATTTGCGATTTTCAATCCCCGCCATGGCTACTCTAGACTCTGATGTTCCCATGGTCCCCGTCGGAGAATCTTCAAACAGCTCCGTCGCTTCCTCCTCCACTAAGAAGCCCAAGCGCTTTGAGATCAAAAAGTGGAGCGCTGTTGCCCTCTGGGCTTGGGGTACCAATCCCTAACCCTAGTTTACTTCCTTTTTTGCTTTTTTTTCTATTTTAAAATCAATTTTTTTAATGTTGATTTGCTTGATTGATGCAGATATTGTTGTGGATAATTGTGCGATTTGCAGGAATCACATCATGGATCTCTGTGGGTCTTTCTATCTTGAGTTTATTTTTCAAGTTCTTTTATTCTTTTCATTCGATTTATGATTATTTTTCTTTTGGTTTTGATAAATTCTAATTGGTTTCGTGAATTTGGTTTTTCAGGTATTGAATGCCAAGCAAACCAAGCCAGCGCCACCAGTGAGGAATGCACTGTTGCTTGGGGTATTGTTTATCTTTTTTCTACTCTTTCAAACCGTAGACTTACTGAATTACACTGCATTATAATGTATTGGGCATGTTCATTTGTTGGGGATTACGGCATGATGTGTGTGTTCCGATATCTTGATGTTCGATTCAGGAATTATTTACTCAGGATAAGTGCTACTGTTATTTGATGCAAGTATATTTTGTACCAAACACAAGGATTGAGAATTTAGAACTCACGTAAGAACTTGTAGTTGCTTATTTTGTTAAGTAGCGCGGTGTTCCTGTCTTGGGGTAGAAAAGAACAAATTATTCGTAAATTCTGATGAAACTATGGTGATTTCATCGTTTAAAGAGAGGTTGAGTGTTGAAGAGGAAAAATTATGCTCAAACCTTTAATGTTTTATTAGAAAATATCGGCAAGTGTATCATTTAAGATGCTAATGGTGATGAATCAATTAAGTTGATAGGAGCTATTCGAATTTGCTTCATAATGCTTTGCCATTGGTAATTTACTCCTAATGGCATCAAATACATTGTTTTGTGGGTTCTATTGCTTTGCTGAATGGCATTTGGTGTTTATGCATTTCTAAGTTAAATGCCAGATTATTTTTTATACTAAAGCTATCTGAATAATTTCTTAGTTTTGGTTTGAACTAGAAGTAAATATGAACTGTATTGGTTGCTCTTCGTTCGATGGTTACATGTTGCTTGCGAGAATTGTTGGTCCCTACACTATATTGTTTCTAATATAAATAAAATTCCATGACTAAAGTACTCAACTAATTAGAGTACTGAAGAAATTACTTGTTAAATTTAACTTGTTCCTTGAATTCTCTTTAAGATTCTCATGAAGTTTGGAGACACTATTAAAGCATGCGGGTGATAACATTAAGAACAGGACAGCCTTCTTTAACAGCATTAGTCATGTTTTGGTCTTGGAAATTGTATGGTTTCACCCTATATTAGTTGTTTCCTTGCATATAAACGAACATTGAAACTCATCTTTCACACTTTTTGCTTGACGGAAAACATAGAAACCCGTCTTTGATTGGATATTTAATTGTTATTCATTTGTAGGGGTCTGTAACCATGCATTTCACTTCCACTGTATCAGCCGATGGCTGAAGACTCGTCAAGTGTGTCCATTGGGTATGATTTTTGCCTCCCGGTACCTTATTTTTGCTTCGATGTGTTGCCCCATCCATAATAATGCTATCTTTGTGGTTTTGAATTTGCAGATAATAGTGAGTGGGAATTCCAGAAGTATGGTCACTAAATCATTTGGACTTGTTTTCAGTTGAATCTGCTTACCTTTCTCGCATGGAGTGGATGAAGATTACATATTTCTTCAGCTTTCTGTTGATTTTACTGTATTTGCTTTTATTTTTTAGGAAAACATTTGGATCTATGAACTAGGGATTGGGATTTGCCATGCTAATATGCTTATATTTTATTGAGAATTCAGGTTTGAGACTCAGATTTTTCGAACATGATCATTTCAAATTTGGGTTATTTTTTGACACGAGTTCGGGTTTGGGTTAATTCAAATTTGGATCGGACAAGTTTGTATTATTGACTTTATATGATTAAATTAAATTATGTTAGATTTGTATTCGGATTGATCGAACCAAGTTTTTGGTTTTGAGTCGAGCCGAAATTGACGGGTATTTAGGACGGTAAAGGCCTACCTTTGGATATTTAGGACAGCAGCATTTCCATCTACAAAAACAAGGATTAGTCTAAATATACCAATTATTTTTTTAAACCTACCATTTTTTTTAAAACACTAAAAGATTATTAAACTTACCAATTTTTTTATTAAAACACTAAAAGATTAATGTAATGATTATGTTTTTTTATTAAAGTTTTTAATCATTATGTAATAATGATGTCTTTTTCATTATTAATTTTTTTTCATTTATTTCTTCAAAATGGTAATAATTATTTATTTTTAAAATTTTTGTTATCTTTTTTACTTATTTAATTATATATACATGTATAAAAAAGCAAATATTAAAATATTCATTGATAAATAAACTAGAATTACAATATATTGAACGTTACATAATTACTTCGATAGGTCAAAAGTTTAATGAATACGAAAATAATATTTACGAAACTCTTCCTGACGACTAACATATGGGTCTTCCCATGCAGATGTAATGTCACTTTTATATGTAATCCAAAGTGGATGAGTCATCGGCAAAGGACAACCTTCGCGTAAATCCGCTTTAATATAATGGTTATCATTCACATGTGCAATGACGATTGTCCCATGTGGCTCTGATTGTGGTGGGCTGGACCAAAGGGAAAAATCGTAATACAGCCTCCGATGCTTCCTCCATTAGCTAGACTTATAACAACTCTATTGTATGCAGAAGCAATAATCAATACCGTTTTTGGCATTTCCATCCATTTTCCGGCTAATTGTACGGATTTATAGATTTTTTTATAACTTGTCGTTCCAAATATATATTTATACTTTTGATGGTTAACATCTAACTCCCGCACCAAGTATGATCGAATTCGAGGTCATTGATCCTCAGATAGACCAAGAGCGACAACGACCGATCGAAATCCGCAATTTCCGTTCTTAGCAGCATAAAGGTTAATTTTTGCCTTTTTAGCTTCAAATTCTCATGTGCTAGGGCTTGAAAGATTGGGGGTTGAGTTTTGATTTGGAAGTCAAGCTTTCTGTTATTGGAATTGTTTTATTTTCTACTTTTGATGTTTTGGATGACTTGATTTGGAAGTCAATCTTCATTTGATAAACTATATTTACATGTTAAATTAATTTATTTTAAATAATAATATTTTTTATAAATGAATCTTAAAAAAATTAAATTAATTTATTCTGTTTAACCAATTTTTAATACATAGAAATGACACAATGAAATGTCCACCCTATAACTGTGTTTTTAGGAGTACTTAAACTGACACTGAAACATTAGTCAGATCATCTAACTGTTAATAACACGATGACCAAAAATCAATGGATGAGATGGAATTGCGCACGCCAAGCTCAAACCAATCTGACCTACTTAACTTTTAAAAATTTAGTAGTGCCCTAGCAACTCCAATAAAAGATTCCATTATAAATTATTTTTGGGTTAACTTGGTATAGTGCCCATTTTTTTTATTGTTTGACTTGGTATATTTAGTAAAAGTTGGTAGCTTTAGTAATGCCCAAACAACAATCCGTCATGAAGGAAACAAAAAAAAAAAGACGCCACTTTGGCTGCATTGCAAATCATGACTCTCACTCAAAATTGATTCATATATCTAAACATATAATTAATTTTAATCATAGTTTAACGTAATTTTTTAAACATATAATAATATAGTTTGATCTAACTTTATTAACAAGAGATGATTGTCATATATCGATAATTTCAGATAAAATTAAAATATTCAAAAGTTTGAGATCAATTTAGAATAAAAATTATAATTTGAAAATAAAATTGTAATGTTCAAAAGTTTGAAGGTTAATTTAAAATGAGTTATTTTTAAAAAATAAAATTGAAATGTTCAAAAATTTAAAATTTAGTTTAAAATAAATATCATAATTTAAGAATATATGATATAATTAACTCTTTATATGAATATAAATTTATTTTTCAATAGAATGAATATAAAATTTAAAGAGTAACATATTCATATAATTCTACGTTTATAGTGTATTTTTTAATTATATCATGACTATAAAATTTTACAAAATAGATATGTGAGTAAATGAAAAATTATTAATTAATATTTTTCTTCTTAATTTAATTATAATTTTTTAATTTTTAATTTTTTATTAATTTTGAACTTTTTAAATTCTTAAAAGTTTTAGATAATCACAATTATTTTATCATAATCGTTACCCAGCAGTTTCGGGCAACAACAAAAAATCTAAAATTTCCACTAAATTCGTTATTTACAAAACCTCCGTTTTCCTTTAAGGTCAAGGTTATTACACCGAGACGTCCATATATAAGATTGATCCACGATCCGACATTTAGAAAAAAAGAATTATTTTTATTTTCCCCTTAATTCTTATTCTCTCTTTCTTCTTCCTTCGTTCTATAATATATATAGACAATTTGCTATCGCCCTCAGGTACTTCCCTCCTTAGTTATGTCTTCAATCTATTTTTTTTTTCAGTTTCTTCATAAAGACTTCTGCCAATAGATAAGAGCCGTTGGATTCTGTGTTTGGATCTAAATCTAGCGGCCGTAACAATATGTTGCAGTTTTTGTTCACGACTTAATTTTTTTTCCGCGTGTTTTAATCTAGCTGATGATTGTGACTTGAACGACTATTGTTTGGTTTTTTAATTTGTCTTTCATTGTCATTGATTTGATCTAATGTGCGTGGAGATTGTCAATTTTTGCTTTGAATTGAGATTAATTGTTTTCAAAATTATGATTAGAAAAAGTAAGGAATTTTGTGGATAATTACGTTGTGATAATTTACTTGTTAATTATAGCTTAAACGGAAAAATGAAAACCCTGGAGGTTTTTCCAACTGTGGTGGTTGCGTTTAGTAAATGTAGGCTGTGAGTTGGAATAGGATCTGTGTTGGTTTCTAAAAATGCCATGTAATTAAGTTTGTTTAGCTTAGCTATGTCGAATCTCTGTAAAAATGCGGCCAAAATATCTGGTTTTTTTATGCTTTGATGGTTCGTGTTTGGAATGTTTTTGTTTGAATGATTAAGATGAGAGAGCATTGCTTGCACCTAAGATTGGTTTAGAATGTTTCCAGTACTTTGAAGTCGATCATTTATGCTCTTCTGCAACATCAGTTCAGGCCATCATTTTGTGAAGTTTTATGACCCATACAATGGGCCTAGCTTTGATGTAGCTGAATGAGTTTGCAGTAATAGAATGTATGGTTTAGAAGTACGAAACACTTCATACCTATTTCTTACATTTACTCAAAGAATCTGTAGATTGATCTGCAATTTTGTTTGTTTTTTGTTTTTCCTTGAGGTGTCAGCCTTTATTACTTTCTCATTGTGGGACTTGCTTTCTCCTGTTAGTGACATTTTGACATCTCTTACTTTTTTATGTCTTTGTAGGATGAAAGGAGGCCCTTACAAACTGAGGTGGAGGGCTAAAGAGTTCTCTCTGGCTCTCATTGTTCTTTTATGTACAACTATTGTGATTTGGGCATGGGACAGAAGTCCAACACTTACTTCAGCACTATCATCAAAAAATCAGTTGCAGCTCCCTCCAGGTTTGTTTGAAGCTGTCTTATTTCTTCACTGTGCTATTTGTTAGTATTGAAACTCTGTTAATTGGATAACCCGAGCTTCTTTTTCCAATTAATATTTTAGTCCTCTCTTGCTTCATAGGCTTGCCCATCTAAATCCAATATGAAGTTATTTGTCTCTTTTCCCTTTCCCATGCTATGTTTATATACTGCATTCTGTTAATATTCCTGGTTAATGCTGCATATGTACATTTTTAACAATAAAGGAGTCGGTTATTTTTATGTTACAAAAAGTGCTTTGTCAAGGCTAGTAACTTTCTGCTTAGGGATTACAACATGGTTTGGCCTACTGCACTGTTAGATTAACTTTAACAGCATACATTAATGCCAAATGTCAAGTTGTTAATATTTGCTTTCCTTTGATTTTTAAACCTTCTAGAAAATAGAGACAATCTTTTGAATTAGAAACTTGGAAAGCGTATTCTGGATAAGAGTACTGCTACTTACAAGCTCACAATATCTTCCCTTACTCTCCTATTATCTGGTGCAGATATTAAAACAGTACCAGTAGATCCCAAAAGACACGTGAAAGAAGATATTTCTACATTGACACGGAGTGAGGCCGTAAATAACAAACGGGAACATCATTTGGATAACCCATATTCTACTGGTACTGCCAAAAGTTATTCAGACTTTGAAACAGTTCCTATACAGAAGAAAGGTGATTTGCTTCTTTATCTATCTCAAGAATTAGGATCAAATTTTTTAATATCGCTGTGGCTTGTATTTTAGAATAACTTGTTTTGCTAAATCTTGTTTAGAATAACTTTCATCATAGTTATAAGTTTTTTCTCGCGAGATGATGTTTGAGTCTTATAATTGCCAATGTCAATGGTATATATTTTTCATAGATGAGTATTTGCATGGCTAGATTAAACAATTTCTTTACCATATAAGATCTGTTGAATTCCTGCTGCATATCTGTCCAGTTGTGAAGTCATGGATGATTAGAGCAAGATTTTCTATTATTTTTTCTTAAATCTTGAAGTTCTAATGTTTTAACTATGCTATCTAGTTGTGTGCTCTCCAGAGTCCGGTGCACTTTTCCTTTACTTGTTTTACAATGAATACTATTAGGATCTTGCCGCAACTAGTTCCTTCTGTTTACACTCATGGCATTTTTGGGGTTCCCATTGTAATTTTTTATGATGGTGCAGAAGAGGAAGCAACAAAACACAAAGGCAGTCCCAAAAGAGAGAAAACTGGTGCTATTGAAAATGGATCAGGCTCATCACAGATAGAGGAAACACACAATGTAATTTTAAGAGGAAGAACTTCAGAACAAGAAGAAAAAACAGTGGAACGTCAAGGTAGAATGTTGCCTATGGGTGATATGAATTTTTCTTGTTTCGTACATTTCTGTCTCTGTATACAAGTTTACATTTGGAAATTGCAGAGAGGAAATTCTGCCTATAGTTCTGTTGTTTTATACACATTATGCTTGGGGAGGAAATGCATTCATCAACATGATTAATAAGGCCATGTCTGACCAGTTTTTGTTGATCTAGATCTTTTAAGCTATTAATGGATACCTCGTCAAAGAGTTATTAACACTGTTTTTAGTGCATCTTCCAAACCTCTCACATAGGTTTTGCATTCTGTTACATGGATGTAATATCAACCATTTGTCGCAACAATTTGTATTGCACACTCCATTTAACCATTTTCCTAGTGGATCAGTTGGTAATGTGCAAGATGCCTTTGGTTATGATGTTAATGCTCCCTCTCTGTTTGAGTCTGTTCGATGTAGTGATTACATTACTGACCAGTAAGTGATTACCACATGATTACCGTCTCTCATTTTCTCATATTTTTTCCAGCCTGTGATTATACAAAAGGGAAATGGGTTATAGATGATAGACGGCCTCTGTATTCCGGGCTTGGTTGTAAACAGTGGCTAGCACCAATGTGGGCTTGTCGTATGATGCGGCGTCAAGATTTTGCCTTTGAGAATCTAAGGTGGCAACCAAAAGATTGTGAATTGGAAGAATTTGTACGGTCAGAGTTCTTAAAAAGGTAATATTATCCTTTTCATTGAATATTTATTCTTTAAATAACGGTTGTTTCGGTTAGTCCTACTCCTTCCAGCTCAATCTTAATCATTTTGCTTTATAAATGCACTCTCTTCTTCTTCCCGATAATCAATGTCTATTGGACATTTACACGTACTTATGATGCATTACAGGATGAAAAACAGAACTCTAGCTTTTGTTGGAGATTCATTGGGTAGGCAGCAGTTCCAGTCTCTAATGTGCATGATCACAGCTGGTAAAGAAAGCCCGGATGTCCTCGACGTTGGCCCAGAGTTTGGACTTATCATACCACCCGGTGGTAAACGCCCTAATGGTTGGGCTTACCGATTTCCCAGCACCAATACTATTGTCCTGTACTATTGGTCTTCAACTCTCTGTGATTTGGAGCCTCTTAATCCCGAGGATCCACATACAGAATATGCAATGCATCTCGATCGACCTCCAGCATTTCTGCGCGATTTTCTCCACAGAATCGATGTCTTGGTTCTAAACTCTGGGCATCATTGGAATCGAGGAAAACTTAGGGCGAACAAGTGGATCATGTATGTTGGGGGCAAGCCTAATACCAACAGGAAGATAGCCGATATGGGAAGTGCCAAGAACTTCACAATCCACAGCACAATTAAATGGCTAAACTCTCAACTTCCGAAACATCCTCATCTGAAAGCCTTTTATCGGAGCATCTCCCCGAGGCACTTCGTAAACGGGGATTGGAACACCGGGGGAAGCTGTAACAATACCACTCCTATGTCTATAGGCAAAGAAGTACTCCAAGAAGAGTCTAGTGATCATGGTGCTGCCAGCGCTGTGAGGGGCACAGGGATTAAACTTCTCGATATAACAGCATTGTCTCAGGTCAGGGACGAGGGCCACATATCTCGGTTCAGTCTGACGGCATCACCTGGAGTCCAGGACTGCCTGCACTGGTGTTTGCCCGGTGTTCCTGACACATGGAATGAAATCCTCTTCGCATTAATATAGTCTCAGATTGTTCTTTGCTTCAATGCCTCGAGACACAAATGTGTTAGCTTCTCCTATCATCGTTCGGGCGTACTCTCGACGGCATTGTTTTAACGGCTTCTCCCGAGTGGAATCGACTCATTCTTAGTGTTATTAGTATACTTAAAAATAGATGTAGCCTCTAGAGATTTAGCTTAGTGTGTGACATAACATTTTATATATTTACACTTTCGGAATATTGCCGGAGGAGGCAGCTGAACAGAAGTTGGCCAGAAAATGAGTACATTTGCAGCCTCCAATGATGGAAGGGAGAATAGAGTGTTGGAATTTGGAGAAAACGAACAAGAAAAATATGTGAAATTACAAATTTGGTACCAAACAATTAATATTATTCTTTTAGGATCCAATTATCGGATTTAATTCTTGTATTTCAATTTAGTATAATTTGAGACCAATGATTGAGATTACAAAGGAAAAGAGATACAGTTGGGGGTGATGGCTTTATTTCTAACTCTTCATTAAGATCCGTACTTTACAGCTTTGGGTTCCCACTTCATTTATTAATTATTATTACAATAAGATTTTTGGATATGGTTGATCGGCGTTGACCAACTTTGTCACCAAAGTGTTGCTTCATCATGTAGGCGTAAGTACATAACTATACTATACTAGCTTCATAATTAGTCCGAGAAAAATAGAGTTAATTGTACTACAAATCCCCAAACTATGATCTTATTCTAAATTGGTCACTTTTGAACATTTCAATTTTATCTTTATGACTCTCATTTTAAATTGATCTAAACTTTTGAACGTTTTAAATTCATTTTCAGACTATGACACTCATTCTAAATTAGTCCAAAAAATTTTGAACGGTCCAATAAAAGTCCCAATAATCATTCAAAGTTTGGGATGAAATTGGAACATTCAAAATTTTGGAGACCAATATAGAACGATGATCATAATTTGGTGATATATTTTGAAACATTAAAAAAATTAAGGATTAATTTAGAATAAAAATTATAATTTGAAGATAAAATTAAAGTATTTAAAAATTTGAAGATCAATTTAGAATAAGAATCATAGTTTTAAATTTTAAATTACTTATAAAAAATCATTTTACATTTTATTGAATATTTAAAAGGATTTATTATATTACAATATATTTGCCGACCTGCCGGTAATGAAGGGTGTAAATGTAGGTGGCACGAATTAGCCGACAAAACAACTGGGTCTGTACACACTCGCATGCAGAGAGACGTTGGTAAACAACACTAATGTAAAATAATGGTCAAATTATGCTTTTGACCTTTCTACTATTTTCAAATTTTACGTTTAATCCTTACACTTTTATATATATATTTTTATTAATAAATTTGATCATTTTATTTTAAATTTTTTCACGTTTGATAATTAAAATTGAAGAATTACATTTCAATTAATTATATTATCAATTTATTATAATTTGATCATTTAATTGTTAGCTTCTATTATTCAAATTATGAAATTCTGATATGAAATATTTAAACGGCTGAGTTATTATTTTCTTAATAAATTAATATACTCCAAAATATAATGACACATAATGTCATATTATTCGTTTAAACAATATCATATTAAACTTATGTGATACGAGTAGTGACTAATGAAAGTTAATAATTTAATGATCAAATTGTAACAATGATAATATAAATTATCAAACTTATAATTTACCCTAAAATATCAGCCTCGACAAAATTGACAGAGACTATGACCCTACGTCTTCAGGGATGGACTGTCCCAATTATCTTAAAATCTGATAATATTTTTTCGCCCGTTCGTCCTTGTATGTCTTTGTGTTTGAATCACACCGCACATAAATTATGTGTACGTGTATGTGTAGGTTCTGTTCAGATTTATTTTTAACTTACTCGTATGTCTAATTTTTTTTAGTTTGGGTGTATTCTTGTGACTCTAATGTATTATTGTCTAATAAAAATCTAAGTATAATAAAGGGACTAAATTCATAATTTGACCTAAAATAAAAAGAATAAAATAAGCAAAGAAACTAACCGTTAAGAGTTGGGAGTCTAGGAGACTTAGCATCTTGTGCTTCTCGTCCGTTCACCATGTGTATCCACTTTCTATTCAATCACATTCCGCCACGTATGCATCTCCTTCGTTCTCAACGGCAAAAACTATTAATTTATTGTTGATTTAACAAAGCTCATTACTTTGCTTTCTTAATAGAGAAGAACAGATACAGCGAAACGAATCAGATGCTAAACGCCATTTGCTGCAAAAGAAAGCAAAGATCCCATCTTTGAAGTAAACCCATCTCCTCCAAGTTCAATTTCTTGAAGTAATCTCTGCGAAAAGAAGAGATTTTTGCTTTTGTTTTTGTTTTTGTTTCTGTTTTGGTTTTGGTGTTGACAATGGCGGAAGACTTCGCAAGGGCGGTGGAAGACGGGCTTAAGCTAGCGAAACGGGTATACTTAGGTAAAGACAGTGCAGTGATGGCGGCGCCGCCGCCTGTGCAGTTTTTATCCGATTGGTACTTGCCGTCGGCTCCAATGGTTTACGCGGTTATATCCGACCCGAGGATGGTGGATAACCCGGATATGCCGAGTTACCAGCCGCATGTCCACGGCCGGTGCGATCCGCCGGCTTTGATTCCTCTCCAGATGAGCAGCGTCGATCTCGAAGTTGATTGTTATGGAGATACAGCTTTCGTTCATGTCTCGGGTAAATGGAGGGTCCATTGCGTCATGGGTAGCCGTTCTTGCGATTTCCGGATTGCTGTCCCCATGGGAAACCAGGTTTGTTCTTAGCTTCAAGCTCTCATTTTCAGCTCAAGGAGTTGTTTTTGTCATTTGATTCTGCAAAATCTTGTTGTTTTTGTTGATGTTTGTTAGACAGAAAAAATGGGATTGTGGCGGCTGTAAGAAGTTCAACTTTTCTGATTAATTTGGACGGAGAATGACAGTCGATGCTTATGCGAAGTGTGATGAACTGAAGAAGATGATGCTTGTGTGAAGGAGGAGTGTGATGAACTAAGAAGATGATGCACCTCTCATCATAATTAAATTGTAACGATTGTCTATGTAACAACGCTATTGCAATATGTTTATCACGATTGTGGACATAGTAGACGCAATTGCCAAGTACTACGGTCATACAATAACCGTTTCCGAGGGTACAACGGCCTTTATTTTGATAGCCTACCGTTAATTATATCCATGCCTTTCTCCCATTTGGCTCATCACTATTCATCATCTTTCTCAGTTCACCACTCTTCTTCGTCTTTGTATAATCATCGACTATAGACTCTCCGTCCAAACCAGAAAGGATTAATCTCCCATACCCGCTAGTACATCATTTTTTCTAATCAACGATGTTGTAGATGAATTTGTGCTTATTCATGGCTTCAAAGCAATAATGTATATGTCATTTGGCCAACAGGGTTCGATACTAGGGGTTGAGGTTGATCTTCCTGGGAAATTCTATTCCACTGAACTGATCGGAGAAGAAGAAAGTAAGGTTATTGAAAAGTTAGCAAGACCGCAAGATGGAGGCTTTCTGAAGCCACACATATTTACTATAACAATACCACAGGTGCAACGATGTTTAACGATTCAGAGTTTATCAATTCGAATCGACATGGTTGATGGGTTCATTTCCATTGTTCCTAATGAATGTTTTTGTTTTTATGTTTATAGGTTGATGGAGGTACTAATATTGGAATTAAGCTTCGTTGGTCTCAGAAATTGTCATATGATCAAGGCCAGTTTTCCTTAACCGTGCCGTTTCGATTTCCCGAATATGTTACGCCGGCTGTAAGGAAGATATCGAAGAAAGAAAGGATTCAGTTGAATGTCAACTCTGGTATTGCAACTGGAATCTTGTGCAAGGCAACTAGTCATCCTTTGAAGGTGCATATTTTGGTTCAGAATCATTGTTTTGTCCTGTTTTGTTCTTTGCTAAATCCCCAAATTTCGCAGGAAACGAAACGACGGGCCGAGAAGTTTTCGTTCTTGTATGAAGCAGAAGTTCTCACTTGGTCTAATACTGACTTCAGTTTCTCCTATAGTGTAAGAAAAAAAACTCAACTTAGTTGTACCTCAAGTCTCTGTGATTCTGGATACTTATTTGCATATATTGACTGCGTGTTTTTATAGGTCTCTTCCGGTAACATATTCGGAGGCGTTCTTTTGCAGTCTCCGCCTTTGTATGATTGTGACCAAAGGGATATGTTTTGTGTTTATCTTTTGCCTGGAAGTCAGAAGAGTAGGAAGGTTGGTCTAGCGTTTGTTCAACCTGCTATGCTATTTCTATTCGGTTATTCATTTTGGTATTGGTCCTCATTTCGTTGAATTCGATAGGTGTTCAAAAAGGCAGTCGTATTTGTGGTCGACCTAAGTGACAGTATGCAAGGGAAACCACTCGAGGCTACCAAGATTGCGATATCTTCCGCCCTGTTGAAACTCGGTCCAGAAGATTCATTTAACATTATAGCTTTTAGTAGTGAAACTTCTCTATTCTCAAAGGCCATGGAGTTGGCTTCCGATGTAGCAATTGAACGGGCCACTACATGGATGAGCACGAAATCTACAATGGGTGGCGGTACAACTACGTCGATTCCATTGGAAAAGGTCTGATCTGAAATTTCTTTTTCTTCGTTTCTTCAAGAGACTTGCATGTTATTAACTTGTGGTTTATCTGCCAGGCATCCGAGCTGCTATCAAACACTAGTGGTTCAATTCCTATGATTTTTCTTATCACCGATGGGGCTGTTGAAGATGAGAGAAACATTTGTGATTCGATGAAAAAACGTTTGACAAATGGAGGATTACCGTCTCCACGCATACATACTTTTGGCATAGGTAATATTTTCGGCCTTTGACCCTCCTATATCGTGTAAATTGCAAATGCTGAAATCAGATAATAAAAGCTTCCCTTGTGGAATTATTGCAGGTTCATTCTGTAATCACTATTTCCTGCGCATGCTTGCCATGATCGGCCGGGGAGATTTCGATGCTGCTTGTGATCT